AGTGATACTATTTCGCAGACATCTCATGTAAGGCAGTCAGGAAAGTGCCCTGCAGTAGCTAAGCCAGAGCCACTCACCTTGGCGAGCCCCGCTCGGTGAGCTCCTTGCGACTCAATGAAGGCAACGTACTTCCCAAAGTCCCGGAACTCCTCGAGGGTGGGACGAAAGGTCATGATCTTACAGCCAGGGTTCTGCGGGCTTGGGTTTTCAGACCCCATATTTCCAGTAGGATACTGACACCTGCACAGTGAAAACCAAAGGGAAGAAATAAGAAAAGAACAGAGAAGAGAAGCAGGAAAAAGATTTCTTTTCTCTTTCTCTGCTAAATCTCATGGAAATTCCTGAGCATGTTTTTCACTCCCCCGCTAATGAGAGAGCACTTCAGCTATCCTCCAACATGGTTTTGAAGGGCTTCTGACCAAAAATCCACTTAGTCTATTTGTTAGCAGGGCCCCAAGAAGGGTCAAACACCAAGGGACTCCACTAAGTCTTCAAGACACTTCGGAGAGGAAGGAGCTCAGGTACGACGGCCCGCAGCAGAACTCCCTTCGGAAACACGGAATGTCACTGGCACCAAGTCTCATTTCCAGCCAGGAAAATGCCACACAACTATAAATGTGCATTCAAAACTGTTTACTTCAAAATGCAGGGGAAATAAACGCAAAACAACTCCAGATGAAATAACAATTTTTTAAAATGGCCTTTGAAAGTTTATGCTGGAAGCTTACTAGGCAAACGAAAGGTTTTAATGACACTTCAGGTGCAAATGCAACTACAGGGAATATTCTCCAAGCCAGAAAACCCAAGTTCCTACAATATAGGCAGGATATCACCAGAGGGCAGTGCAGGACTTCAAATGAAAAGAGCACAACATCCAGTAACGCGGCATCAAATGTGACTTGGAAATCAAAAGTAAAGTAGGTTTGATTTAAAGCGATTTTGAACTAGCCAAAAAGTATTCCAGATGCTACTAAAACATTCTTTGTGTTGACAAGAAAAAATAAATAAATAAATAAATGACATACTGTTATGTTAATCAAGCATGGCAGAAAACTCATTTCCAAAGAGACTGTAGATGCACTCCATTGTCTCCTGCAATTAAAAACCATCATTCACTAATTTGGGCAGATCCAATACCCAGCTCTCCAAGGTATCAAAATTTCTTTCATAATGTTAGCTGAGTAAAGCAGTTTTCTTTCTAAAGGCAAAAGAATGGTTGCTACCTAAAAGTTAAAAATACAGTCAGAACAACTCCTATGGAAACTGTTTCAAAACAGTGGTCTGCAATTCTAAGCTCTTCCCTGACTGGACTCAAAAAGACTCGCGGATGCAGCAGCCTCGAGCCTCACCTGCTGTCTCTGCAGCTTTACCACGTTGCTCACACTAAAAACCCTGCCAAAGGGCCCTCCCAAAGCAAGGAGCCAGAGATGCAAGTGACAGTCCTTAACCGCAACAAATATAAACTCAAATATTGTAAAATAACCCCAAATCATCCTAGGAGAAGGATACAACTTCACTTCCTTCACTTCTCTCCCCCTCAGTAACCCTCAGCTACTTCTACAAGTGCATTTCTAACAGAAATCACTGCAGTCTCCAATAAACGGGTCCTTTAACCAACCCCTTCGAGCTTCAGCGTGGCTGTGATGGAGAAATTGCAACCCTCGCAATACAGAAAGGCTCTGCCACGTTCCAGGGGCAATGCTTTAAGGTAAGGTACACAGTTGATCTATAGCTGCAAGAACAATTTACTACATAATTATTTTACAGACATGCAAAGAGAAAACAGCACCTCCTGCTCCCATGACAAGTCCTTGGAGCTGACAAGCATCAGGATCAGAGCATCCATCAACTGGAAGTTTCCTCCAAAGCTTTTTCAGAAAACCTTATTTGCTAGAAAAGCATGGCTGATGGGAGTGAAGGGTTCAAGGTAAAAGTGGATACTCAAGAAGCGGGAAACACAGGGAAACCAGCCCCAAACGTCTCTTCAGACACAGTCTTGGTGAGAATACTCTGCTATTTTTAAACTAGGCCTAGAAAGGACATGGAAGTTCAAACTAGCAGGACCAGCAAAGTCATGCTGTACCTCAGCACTGTGCACCGGCTGCTCGGGAGTATTGGCACAGCGCAACAATCTCAAATTCCTTCCGGAGGAGGATCCTCGCCAGTGCCATCTGCTCCAGGGACGTCTTCCTGGGATTTGCAGCTTTACTTTAGACTCACAACCACAAAAACAGTGGACAAAGCCAGCTTTTATTCCATCTTTTTTCAAGATTATCTCCAACAAACTCCAATTTTTATTCCACACCCTGGGAGTAAATAATTGAAACACAAGTTCAAACAGGGAAAGAAAAAAAAAAAAAGAGAGAGAGAGAGAGAAAGAAAGAAAGAAAAAGGAGAAAAAAAAAACCCTTCACGTGAAGATAAGCACTGTTATTGTAGCATGTCATAACGTGTTTATTTGCCTCAACACAAGAAATGTCATTCAATACTCTGGAACTTTATAGTGCAGAGCAAGTAAACAGATTTTTCCATGTTTAACCTCTATTCTAAGGAGAATCTTAACATGAACCCTGGACAATATTTGCTGTAATGTACATTCATCTGATTCACCTGAAGTATTAAAAAGCTAACTGTGGAGTTCCTAAGTTCCCCTGCTTTTCTTCACTCACAAAAGTGCAGCAAAACTCGGTGTGCAAATGACTTGCTGATGCCTCATGCTTTGGGACAAACAGAGCTGGAAACATCTAAGCCACGGAGAAAACTTTGGGGAGAAAAGGATTTCTTTCCCTTAAAACAACTGCAAATACCAACTGGGAAACCAGGGGCACTATTTATTGCAACTCCTCTGCTCCCGGTCACACGGATCCCAAGAGAGCAGGGCAGCAGGACTGCTCCGTGCTACGGCCACGCAGACAGCAACACTAAGGAGATATTCTCAATAAACCGGATCACGAGCAGCAGGGAGAAAGAATCTGCAGCAGAATTCAGCTATTCTAGGAACACTGAGCCCATTTTTCATTCATGGTTCTGCCCTCGCCATGAAGGCGTTGATGGTGACAAGGCATCCTAACAGCTTCTACTCTCTTCATTATTTATACCAAAAGGGACAATTTTACAGAAAATTCTTAGCTCGCTATTAGATCTTGAAAAGAAGCATTAAAGCATTTTTCTCAGCAGGATGCATTTGGTTTCTCTGTGAGAGAGTAACAAGCTGAAATGTTTTGAAGCGTCTTCTAATTTGCACTGGCTGTAAGGTAACACTACGGTACGTCTCCAGAGAGATGATCTCGGCGGACACAAAAAGACGAGTTTTTTATTTCAGTGACTTGTACGTGAGACTTTTACCTGCAAAATTGAAGTGAACGATGATACTTTTGTGACTGAAATTCTACACCTGTTGATTAAAAGCTTTGTATGGCACAGAAAAAGCCTCCAAAACCCAGCTGGGATCAACGACTTCTGCTTCCCTATGAACTTCTAGAAACAGGAATACTTGTTCACAGTGAAAAGCTTGGGACTTTTAAAGAAGTTCCCTACTGATCTAACACTACTGATCTGGGAGAAATGGAATAATGTCAACTTATTCTCCTCAAGCCTTTGAGTTGGGGAGTAACTTTAACTAAAGGTAGTGAGTATTAGGGGAAAGAAACCTGTGTTTAGGCACCGTTGCTGGAACTATATATAAACATATACCTAGGGGAAGCATCAAGGGCAACCTTTGGCAAAGCTAAAACAAACTGGCTCTGCTATTACTCCAGCTATCCATGAGCATACCCAAACAGGAGAGTAGGAAACAGGAATTTATGACAAAAGTCATTTTTTTTCTAGTATCACTAGGATAAGACCACATTTAATCTTGCAAAAATAAACACAATATGCTTGAAAGGTATATTCAGTTTATTCAAAAAAGCTGAATGCATAATGTACCTCAGAGCCCTTTTAAAGGGAATACCAGAGTTTTGTTTAAAGGTAAATTCCTACCCAAGTGACATATGCCCCATTACCGTTTATATTACTGTATATAACTGGCAAAAATACTCTTGAACAACCTGTTGTTTCTCCAAAGGTGCAGTTTCGCAGCACCAATCCCACAAAATCTGTCACTGCTTTTTCTATCAAAGACTTCAAAGCCAGAAAACCAAAATTCAATAAGCCATTTAGTACACATGCAAAAGCAGCAGCTGTAGGCATACAAAACCAGGTATGCAAAATGGTCACCTGGAAGCCACAAGAAGCAAAAATAACTCTGTGAGACAAAGAAAATAGACTGTGCCCAGGACAACTCTGCAAGACTCGTTTGATTTGCAAGAGAAGGGGCTGGATAGAGGCACCACAATATCCCCCCGAGCACCCTCTGCAGCCAGTGACCTGCTCCTCCTGGCACTGGTGTGACAGCCTGCGGAGGGATGAGGATTTAGACCCGGCAAAGCCTTTGGCCGGGGTTTGGAACAGGAGGCAGCTTCGCAGCAGGAGCTGCTTGGCTTTCTGCTGGCCTCCCACCCGTGGCCATTTGCTCTTCTCCCGGGCCAAATGCGTCTGCCGTGTCCCGGTGCAAAAGGACGTGGAGCGCTGAGATGGCCGGGGCACCATAGAATCATCGAATAGAATCACAGAATGCTGAAGGTTGGAAGGGACCTCTAGAGATCATCTAGTCCAACCCCCTGCACACGCAGGGTCACCTAGAGCACGTGGCACAGGGCTGCGTCCAAGCGGGTTTGAAGATCTCCAGAGAAGGAGACTCCACAACCTCTCCGCCACCATGGTGGCAGGAATCCTGCAAAGCCCCCGGCCCATCCAACCACAGCCTTGGCACGAGGAGCTGCGAACACTTGAAACAGAGAAAAATAAAAAGACAAAATTTTCCCAGATGGCACAACTTTAACATCATCCCGCCAACACAGTGCCTCTCTGCAAACCAAGAAGCACTCTCATGTATATAAATTGGAGTCCGTGCACACTCAAAAATAGATTGAGGGTTAGTGGTGCTCTTCCATCCAATCGCCCTTTTATTATGGAAGGGTGAACCTACTAACACTTAATCTAATCAATGCGGACAACAAACATCCCTGCGCTTGTAGCACTAGTAAGACTGCTGTTAGCAGTTAAGAAAATTATCTTCCACAGCTCATTACGCTACCTAAGGACATTGAATTATACACCCTTACAGAAGACCATCTAAGGTCAATGTACTCCAAAGCAGGGTGGAAAAATGCAAGTCCTAAAT